GACCTGGATTGGAATTCAAACCATTATCGCTGGATGGGATGTGTGTTACATGTACAAATAAAGGACTTCAAACCTCGATGTTTGTAGGTTTGTGACTCGGAACTACGAACATCCAAAAGAGCAGCTAACATTACCTTTGCAGCTGGAGCCAGGCCTTTTGGAGCAATCCAACGGCGATATTCTACCTGCCACTATTTCCAGAACTCCCAATAGAGTGGAAGCCTCAACAGGAAAAAGCCACAGGGGCCCAGATATCACCTGGAACTAATACTCTCTACTGGTGGTGGGAAGTGATTCAAACATTTTTACTACTGGTTCTGTGGGTGTAGCGTGGCTTGGTGGGCATGGCAGGCAAAGGATACTGCAAAATCTCCATTTCCTCCCCACCCCAATAACCTGCTTTCCAGTTCCATTCTCCTGTGTAGGGTAACAAAAGAAGACACAGCCAATCAGCTGAGACTGAATGGGAGGCAGAGAATAGATGGGGGTGGGGCCAGTAAGAGGTGGTATTTGCCAGTTCTCCAAACTACTCAAAATTTCCACTACCGGTTCTCCAGAACTGGTCAGTAACTGGCTGAATACCACCTCTGCTCTGAACCATACAACAGGCATTATCACACAAATGAAAGATGTGACATAAGATAAAGTTTCATTAACCTCTGTTCTTTTCAGGTTCAACTCCCAAGAGGTTTTCTAATGCTAATTTGATGCCTGGCAGGTGGGCTACAAAGGGCTTTATACTTTCAACACAATTGTGTATGACCGTCGTGTGTTAGACATGCCGTGAAGCCAATAAACTTCTGCAAGTTTTCTCATCACTGGACTAGAACTAAACAAGTTGTAAACAGTTTGTCCAGTTCCAAAGTTATGGCTTCAGGAATGCATTCTATGGTATCATTTCCACATAAATTAAGTGTGTGACACCTCCATGGTCAAAATAAAGTTGTTTCACGTTGCTCAAGTATAGAGCATGAAGAACTGTATATATCCTATATTTTTTTTCTTTTTAAAAAATTTGGTTTTGTAAAAAAAGTTTTTAAGTCTCCCTTTCATGAGCTCCCTGGGCCCCAGAACAATGTACCAGCTGCACACACACCCTCCCCTCAGGCCTGCATCCAGCAGTTTAATAAACATGTCTCACAAGCAACAAATGGTATCTGCAGCAGTGGTGGGATTCAATTTTTTTTACTCCTGTTTTTGTGGCGTGTCTTGGTGGGCGTGGGGTAGTGGGTGTGGCTTGGGCATGGCAGGGGAAGGATACTGCAAAATCTCCATTCCCTCCCCACTCCTGGGAGAAGGTTACTGCAAAATCCCCATTCTGCCCCTACCCCACTAACCTATTTTCCAGCTCTGTTCTGTGCAGGGCAACCAAAGAAGACCCAGCCAATCAGCTGGGACTCAATGGGAGGCGGAGAAGAGATGGGGGCAGGGGCAGTCAATGGTGGGATTTGCCAGTTTTCCGAACTACTAAAAATTTCCGCTACCAGTTCCCCAGAACTGGTCAGAACTGACTGAATACTACCTCTGATCTGCAGTCATAGATTATCCACAGCTGGAGAAACAGTGCTGTTGGATCCATCTTCAGTATTTCTTTCAAAGATGCCACAGATCTCTCAGGCTTATCAATTCCAGTAAAGTTATTACTAAATCCAATCAAAGCACTAAATGTATTTTTTACTATTGTAACTTTTCAAGCAGGGGTAGGATTCTACCAGTTCGCACCTATTCTCTAGAACCGGTTGTTAACGCTCTAAGCAGTTCGGAGAACCGGTTGTTAGAAGAAATTACTGGCCTAATCCTGTAAGAAAGGCAGGAAGGAAACATTCTGGTGTTGCTTACAGAAACTGCCTCTCTGTTAACCCTTATTACATTCTTGGCAGGACTAGACTTCCTGTCTCAGGAACTTCTCTGAAGTTTTTTTCCCCTCCTTTGCTGGTACTTTACTTGTGTGGAGTCACCATTCAAAGTTACAATGGCACTGAAAAAAGTGACTTATGACCATTTTTCACACTTATGACTGTTGCAGCATCCCCACAGTCATAAGAGGCCAGGCGAGGAGATGCGTGCCTCGATGTGATATTGAGTTGGCCACACCCAGCCAATAACATGACCACCAAGCCATGTCTACCCAGTCACATGACCACCAAGCCACGCCCACCACCTAAGCCATGCCCACAGAACCGGTTGTTCAAAAAATTTGAATCCCAACCCCTGCTTTCAAGATACAATCCTTATCAAAATGGCTTAAAAGTAATGTCTATAATACTATCCACCTACCTGCCTATCACTTTTTAAAGTTAGCAAGAAATATAGATGGTTCCCTATGTAACCAAAGTTAACGTTTTGTTCAAAATAAAAAAATAAAGCACTATTATGTACAAAAAGCTACTTTGGAGGATTTAATAACATTTTATTGCTTTTATAATAATAGAAAAAAGACAAAATCTATACAAGCCAATCTGCTTAGAGGGAGCAAGTGTAATCAGATCTTCAAATCATTGATTAAATAGGGTGATACATTTATCTTTCCAATGTTACCTGTAAAATCTTTTAAAAATGCTTCCTTAAAAAGAGAATATGATACTATTGATTATTTGATTTATATTTTTGTTTTCCTCAAATTATCCACCAACACACTTTAAAACACTGATCTCCAAACTTGGCAACTTTGAGACTTGTGGACTTCAATTCCCAGAATTCCCCAGCCAGCCAGGATGGCTGGTTGAGGAATTCTGGGAATTGAAGTCCACAAGTCTCAAAGTTGCCAAGTTTGGAGACTTCTGCTTTAAAAAATAAAAAATAAAACCCACCTTTGCACATCACTGGGAGGCTTTTAATTGGTCCTGGTTTTTGAGTAATAAAAAGGAGGCAACAGATGAAGAAGAGGATTGGTTAGAAGGAAGGGCGGTTACTGAACTATAGATGGTACCTGTCTATAAAGATAGGAAGAATATAGAGAGCAGCACTTCCCAAAAGAAGATGCATACCAACCACGCTATTTTTCCCTTCCAGGAACTACCAGGCAAACCAAAGAAGAACAGGAAGCTGCAATAATCTCACACACACACAAAAACCGTTAAAGATCTTTATGGGCGACCATTCCGTGTACAAAAAAGAACTGGGGGGGGGGGGGGGGGGC